GACTTGTGAATTGCCCATATAGATGTTGGAAAGATGCAGGAGAGAATTTTGAAAATCATCAAAACAATTTATACCATAAAAATACACAAAATATTATATCATCTCTTTAGCAATTAATGCTAATAATAGAGATTCTAAATAGGTAAACCATTAAAAATTATAATAAGAGACCCACAAAGGTACCAGTTTAATTGGCCAACCTTTTGGGTTTCATATTTTATGGCTTTATAATTATTTATTTTTTATAAAGATCAAGGTAAAAAGAAAATAGCAAATGAAAATATACGAATCTCCTATAATAGATGCAATAATTACATGTGGAAATCAATGTATGACATTAAGAGGTCACGAGATTCAGGTTGTATATTTAAGGATGATACAAATGAAAATGATAGGAACTTTAGAGCTATTCTCAAAAACCGAGCAATTGGAGATGATGAGCTCAGGATTAACTTGTTAAATGCACCTAAAAATGCTACGTATTTAAGCCCCACCATTCAAAACGAAATCATTGATGTGTGTAATGATTTAATATTAAGAAAGGTAGTTGCCAACATTAACAAGTCTCCATTCTTTTCAGTCTTGACAGATGAATCAACTGATATATCTGGCATAGAGAAAATGTCCTTGTGTGCTCGATATTTATATTGTAAAATTTATATTTATTTTATATAAATTATTAATATAGATGAAGTTCAAATAAAAGAAGACTTTTTGCAATTTATTCCGATTCAAGATATGAGAGGTGAATGTCTTGCTAACACAATTGATGTTCATCTTAAAAAATTTAAAATTAATGTTAATTTTATGCGGGGACAAGGATATGATGGTGCCCCTGCTATGAGTGGACATTTAAATGGTGTAATCACATTTAATAAAAAAATATCCTACTGCAATTTATGTACATTGTGCATCGCATTCCCTAAATCTAGCCATTTCTGATTGTTGCTCAATTCCCGTTATTCGTAGTACCATGGGTTTATTAAACTTTTATTTTAATTATAATCATATATTTAAAGGCACAATAGGCAAGGTATATGATATGTTCAAATATCCAAAAAGATCTAATGTCCTCAAAAATATTCTGGCAAAGGAAGAATTTGGCAATAATCATCATAAACTTGTGAAAATGTGCCCTACAAGATGGATCCTACGACATGAATCGGTTGCAGTTTTTCTTGAATTAGTTGACCCGATAATTGTTGCATTGAAGGAAATATGTGGATGGACAGATACATCAGTGATGGCAGAAGCCAATGGAATCTTGAAGCGATTCAAGATCCTGAGTTTTTATTGGCCATTAATTGCATTAACACTCTCTTCTGCCACACAATATTATTATGCAGAGCCTTGCAAAGAGTGAACCAAGATATGGTTCAAGCATTGATCTTAGCTGAAGATGCATATAATGCTATTTTACAGATGAGAGAAAATGCTGATTGTGAATTTAGAACGATTTTTAACAAAGTTCGAAAAAAAGTGCAATCTTATAATATGATAATAAGCATGCCAATAATAGTATCAAGACAAGTACATAGAAATAATATTTCCATACAATCAGTTGAGGAGTATTACAAAATTATTATTTTTATACCACTTATGGACACTTTTTTAACTCAGATTAAAGAACATTTATTAAACCATAAACTTTTGCTAATTTTGTTACCCTCTAATCCATCTGTGAACATTTCGGATGACATTAGAAATAAAAAAGAGTATTTATATAATTTTTATTTGCAAGATATGGTAGGGACCGAATTAGAAGTAATAAGTGAATTTAAATATTGGTTTGCCAATTTAAAAAGAATGGATATAAAGCCTGATAATGCATTAAATGCACAGAATATTTGTAAACACACACTAATTGACTTTCTGAACATAACAAAATTATTTCAAATTTTAGCATGCCCCCCAATTACGACATGTACAAATGAAAGAACTTTCTCTTATTTAAGAAGACTAAAAACATACTTACGAAATACTACCTCGCAAAATAGATGAAATGGTTTAGCGATATTAAATATTCATCGGGAATTAACACCATATAATACTGAAATAATTAATGAATTATGAAATTCTAAAAGAAAATTAGATATAACATTATAAATTATTACCACGTTTTTGTATAATCTATATTATATTACACAAAACGTAAATTATTACCACGTTTTTGTATGATCTATCTATCTTATGACATAACATAAATTATTACCACGTTTTTGTGTGATCTATCTATATTAAAAATAAACTAATAAAAATATATTTCTTCCGGGCGTATTATTTGTTAAAAAAATTTTTAAATATATATAAGATTAATAACCCGGCCGAAGGCCGGGTAAAACGGGCCGAAGGCCCGCCCAAAAAAAGGTCTGGGGACGAAGCCCACCAGAAATTTTGTAATTCCCACCCCCTTAGGAAAATCTTGGCTACGCCTATGATGACAGAGTTTTTGTCAAAAATTTACCATTTTCACGATCTTTAACCTATATCTTAGCAAGTGAGTGGTGTAAGAAAGTAAAATTTCATTTTTTTAGTATATTATATACTACCAATATAAAACAATCCAAAAAAATGGTACCATGGGAATTCAACGAAATAACACTTTTATCGTGAGTGTATAGCAAATCCACATTCTCTAATACTATTTCGCGAAGACTATATTGCGAATCAAATACTCTTTTGAGAGAATACAACAGCAAAATTTTTATTGCAAATCAATAATAGCGAAACTTTATAGTGGAGTTGTTATCGAGAAACCTAAATTGAGAAAACAAATAAGAAAAAACAATAGCACGAAAGCAATACTGCAATAATTTCTAATTGTGTATATTTTATTTCAAAACATAGACCTTAATTAAATAATGTTAGAAAATAAACTGAAAGACCAATTCCGTGTTAGACCTTTTCATCTTCTATAACCTTTGTAATTTTATATAATGATTCTCGAGTTTAGAATAATTTTAGAAAATTTATTACATTAAAAAACACTTGAACCAAATATATATCAAGAACATCAGTTTATTATCATCAATATATATATCCAATCATAATTATAAAAAATATATAACATATTTACTCATCAACCTCTTCAAAAGGTTGCTTCCTAAAAACTTCTCCTCTGTTCCAATCAAAAATACATAATTCCACTAAAAACCAAAGATCACTTTTGATTTACATTTCTATAATTTTTTGCGGACGTGGGCGACCTTTTTAAAATATTTTAAATAGGGCATGTGAGTTAAAAAATATTTTTAAAGCAATATGTTATAATTTAATAGAGAAAAAACAATAATTTTTAGACAACTAAATATTAGATTTTAAAAAACAAATTAAAAATGCATAAATTTTAGCTCTAAAATAACTGTAGAAATAGGGATTAAATACTTTTTTAGAGAAAAATAAGAGCAAACAAGATAAAAAAAAATATAATAATTGCAATACGTATTATGGAAAAAGGAGAAGCTATGGGGAATAAGGAAGTGTTTCAAGGTAACACTATAATTCCCTCTTAGGAACTCGAATTAATTGTTAGAAAAAGATACTCCTTTTTCTCCTAGTCCTTCCTGATATTTTCATGCCTATTAGCTTTAAAAAATTAGGATATGAGAAAGAGGGGAGGGACAAGAATTCCGTATATTCTAAGGATTAAGGGAATAAAGATAAAAGAATTTAACAGGAACTCATACTTGTTAGAATTTTTGATCCAAAAAGAGGTTAAAATATAATTAAGGGAATAAGGCAACGCGTGACACATCTCAAACCAGTTCCCAATGAACATAAAATTAAATAATAATTAGTAAAAGAGTTCATTTAAAATTTAGTCATGAAAAATAAATCTAGACCATGTTGTGGTTGTACTTGTATATCATCTATATATATTTTAAATATCGAATATCTTCTTAATTATTAGTTTAAGTAGTTATTTAAAATTTTTATTAAATTTATTTAAAATTAATCTAATAAGTTTTATAATTTTTTTTGTAGTTTTTATATAAATTTAATAAAATTAGTTGACCATATTAAATATTATCATACCTGTATAAATACTAAAATATTTATAAAGACTTTATTTTTCTCAAGGTCGAAATTTGTGTCTTGTGAAATTATTGTGTATAAGGGTTGAATTTCATGTCTTAAATAATTCTTAAATTTGAGTGGATGTGATCTTATTTAAATTCAAATATCTAACTACTTCTTATTAACTTTTTGTAATAAATATTAGGTTAATTTCTTTTTCCTCTTTATCCATTATATATACACCTATAATTTGCTTTATAACAAGTAGCAACCTCTATGACAGATGATCACAGCTAGTGTTGTTAAATGGCTCGTTTTGAGCCAATTTTTAAAAACGGCAAACTCAATACTTTAGCCAGAAAAATATATCCTAAACTTTAAAATTTCACTAATATATGGCTAGACCTTGTGACTTCTTATTCTATAAACAAAATCTTCACTTGCTTAATATTTTTCTGGATAAAACGAGTCGTTTAACAACACTGATCACATTTATCAATTTTATCGTATTATTTACCACTCTTTTATCATTATAATATAGTTTAATAAAAAATGAATAAATGTGAATAAATGATAAATTATATTAAGAAATTATGAATCAATAAATACTTTGTATTTCTATTAGATCACAAATTAAATTGATACTAACAATTATACTAATTATGATTTTTCCATTTTGTTTGCTCGTATTTTTAATTAGAGAAAATAGAACATAGTTCTATTTAAAGTTGTTAATTTAAAAAATTTGGTTTAATTTTACCAAATAAAAAATTTAATAATATAATTATTTAACATATCAATTTTAATAACTATGTAGTAATTTCTTGATACCTTGAATCATTAAATCTTCAACTATATATCATTGAAGTAATAAATGTTAAAATGGTAAATCGTCCCATAATGCTATTGATAATAAAAAATATTCATCCAATTCATGTATATCGATAAATTCGTTTCAGAATACTAATTTCCTTTCAAATCAAATGGGAAACATATGTTCTTGTTTTAAGAAGAAATCTAAAAAAATTCCTGAAAAAAAGCGCACACCACCGCCAGCCCCTCCTTTACCACCTAAACAACCATCTCCTGTAATCAAACAACCTTCACCTGATTCGTCTATGACTAAAAGCGATGATACAAGCAGCCCGGCACAGAATTCATCCAAATCCTCAGTTTCCGTTAGCAAGGTTAGATATTCCCCACAGCCCACGTACAGACCCGTCATAGTACCTAAGGCCATTCCTACGCGTTATGATCCCAAAGGTAATCCTATTCCGCCGGATCACAGTTGCATAGTGGGTCCACGTAAAATTCCGTACCAGCATAAGGTGATGGAAAGTGAGAAGGCCGCCGATTATAATTACAAATGGAAGAAAGAAACTACTCATGTTCAAGGAGGTGGTTCAGGTACAGACGGGAGCGGAGGAGTATCCACGTACTATTTAGATTGGAGCAAAAAGAAAAATGGGCCTAACACCGAGGAAGATAAAAATGCAGCAATTAAAACTAAACCTGAACATACTTTACCTGGACCAGAACCTCCGCCTCCGGCAACAATTAAAATTAAAAATGAGAAGGAAAAAACTGCACCAGGTCGGGAACTATCCCCCAAGGTCATTTTAAGTAAATTATAAGATTAAAAAATTTAGATAAACTCTGGGTAATAATAACTTTTAATGATAATCGAATATGGGAAAAGAGTGTTTTATAAATTTTTATTTTAAAATTAGGTATAAAATAGTAGCAATTAATATTGGGAATAATTTAAAGTTTTTACATTTAAAGCATTATTCGAAATGATTATATTATATATTTTACGATAAAATTTTAATCGAAAAAAATAACTTATTAAAGAAGAATTAATACTTCCAAAATTAGTATTACCAGAATTAGAAAAGAAAGAAACATCAATTGTAAAACCTTTAAGTTTTCTTACATTAACAAGACCTAAACCAAAAAAGAAATTTAAACAAACGCGCGGAATATATAAGAAAGCCAGAAAAATATCTTCAATTAATAAAGCGGTCAAATTTGTTTTGGAATCAGATGGGATTTTTAATGAACCTTTTATTTAGAAATATCAATTTTGTTTTTTTATATTATAAATTTAAACGATGACTGAAGGAAATTTCAACTTGTAAGCATAACTAACTAATGTATATATCAATTAAATTATGAAATTTCAGTTGTTTTGGTAAAATAGGGTTAATAACCTAAAAGTATATTTTTTATTTGTATGTATTATAATTTAACAATAAAGATTATATACTATGAATATTTATTTTGTGCTTTAATTGGATGTATATGTGTTTTTGATTTGATTCACATTTCAGGGTGCAGAGGTGAGTTCTGAGATATTTTGAGTTCAAAAAATTATCACAAATTTTAAATAATTATATTTATTAAGTTGAATCAAGAATTCAATTCATTCGTTTAAATGTCCTCATCATTATCTTCATAATTAATCACAAATAATTTATTATAAATTCCCTATATGAGAATCAAAATTATTTGAAAAATTTATATAAATATCCCTTGCCATTTGTGACAGGTTGTGTTGTTAAACGGCTCGTTTTGAGCCTGTTTTTAAAAACGGCTAACTCAATATTTCATCTAGAATAATCTTACGCAAGCCTGAAGATTTTGTTTGTAGAAGGAACAAAGATTTGGACATCTATTTAGCGATATTTCGAGGCTTTGGCAATATTTTTCTGGCTAAAATATTTAGTTAGCCGTTTTTAAAAATCGGCTCCAAACGAGCCGTTTAACAACACTAGTGACAGGTATGAAAATTTTCCCACCAATCAAAAACACATTAGTGTCTTCAGGAGACACCGGTTCGCCTAGGGATAATAATAGACCTTGCTATTAAATGTAACTCGATTTGATATATTTTTTTCTATATATGTGATAAATAATTATATAAATTATGCTATTCCCAGGCATAACAGCAATTTTTTATATATTTATTTTCAAACAAAGGATGATAATTTGTAGAATCAATTGTTTTATAAATTTTAAAAAAATTTGGAAGGAGAAATATCTCAGACTTTAGCCGTTAATAAAAAACAAATATTATGATTTTTTTTAATGATTAAATGGCGTCTGGTGTTTATTTTCTTAATAATTTAATGTTTATTCTCGAATTAGCCACATTTTAATTTTGAAAAATAAAATCCAAAATCAAAGGACATTAATAAATAAAAAAATTTTACACAGAGAGTCATCAGAATATCTTTAAAATTTTTAAGAAATTTACAAATAAATTTATTTGTTTAAAATAATTTTGTGTATCACTGGTATTCAGCGTTGCCAGATGTCACGATTTAGCCGTGATTCTCACGATTTCATACCTAATTTTTTACTTACCCACGTTTTCTCACACTCACGTTTTTTGAGTAAATTAAAATAATCACACATAGTCTCACACTTTTTCTCACGTTTTTAAATTTTTTTAAAAAAAACAAATAGAAAATTTTAAATTAATTTTATTTTAAAATATTTTAAAAAAATATAGTATTTGTTAATAGTCCAACTTACCAATCTTATTCATTGATCAATTGCCCACAACAGAAATTCAATTTTTAGAAAGTTTATCAAGTATAATTATATTATGAATTTAAATAACTATACATTTCTTTTATGGATTTTATAAATCTTATATTAAAACTCGTAAAATTTTAAATGAAATAAATTAAGGGCAAATATTATAAAAGATCTAAAAATACATCATCCGTTTTCAATACTAACGGATGCATAGAATAAAGGTAATATAAAAACATTTCCCTTATTACTTAGATACTTCAACAAAAAGAATGGAATAAATGTTTAATTACTTAAAATTTTTTCGTCTGACAGTGAAACCCCTAAAGACATATCTAGATGCTTGCTAAAAAAATAAAATTCGCTGAACTTGATATTGCTAATGTAACGGCCTATTGTGCAGATAACTCATATGTAAACTTTGGGAAAAATTAAAGTATTTAGACAGAATTGAAAAGATAGTAATAATATTATACCAATGGGTTGCATATGCCACATTCTTCACAATTCGTTTAAAAAGGCCATAATTTTTCTTAAATATGATATTGAGAGTATAGTAATTAAAAGCTATAATGAATTTAGCAACTCGACAAAAAGAGTTACAATTTTAAAAGAATTGGTAGAATGGTGCAATTTAAAATGGTCATCACTTCGCCATGTTCCAACACGCTGGCTTACATTAATCCCAGCGATTAAGCGGATGCTTAAGTATTTTCAACCCCTTAAAGAATATTTTTTATCATTATCAGCAACCCCACCAATTTTGAAAATAATTTTTGGAGATGATTTTGCAGCGCATATTTAGGTGTTGTCCTTAACGTTGGCACTTTAGTCAATAGCATAAATTTACAATTGCAAACTGAAGATGTATTAGCAATATATATACATGATATTATCCTAAAACTAAAGAATTCATTAAATTTAAAAATTCAACAAAATTTTTATGGGAGCAAATGTCCAGAATTTGAACAATTACAAAAAATTATTATTAATTATAAAATACCAATCATAGATACAGATATTCTCTTTGAGGAATATTCACAATTTTATTCCTATTATGAAGAAAAATTATTAAAAAACAATCTCATGAATACCCAAGAAAAATGGATGGGTTTTCTTTCTAATAAAAACTCACCATTGATAGAGAAAATATGCAATTTTATATTTTCTATTCCACATTCAAATGCTTCATCAGAGAGAATATTCAGTCTAATGACTACTGCTTGGCGAAAAGAATGTCATCATTGAAAATTGAACTTATGGTTAAACAAAATATAACAATTCATGCAAAGAGTTTTCAGCCTATCTCCACAGTGCCGATGGGAAATGTTTATTGCCTCTTTTAAAATCATCCATAAAATATAATAATTAATATTATGCTATATTTATAAACATGAGAAAATTATATATCATAATTGTTATTAGTAAATCAATAAAGAATTTTCATTGTTTTCAAGATCTTGTTATATTAAATATAACATATTAACTTAGATGAATATGCTACATCAATTACCCCGGCCGAAGGTAGGCCAAAAGCGGGCCGAAGGCCCGCAAATTGGTGGGTATGGTGGCGAAGTCCCCCATTAATTATTCTAAAATAAAAACTCACGTTTTCAAGTGAAGAATATCTGGCAATCCTGCTGGTATTGCGTAAAAATATATTATAAATTAATCTCTTTTTTTAAATATATAAGATTATCTATAAACTTATTTTGAATAAAAGAAAAGTTGTGACTAAAAGAATACTCTAATATTCTTATTTATACGTACTAAGGTAATTTTGCCTTATAAGATTTGGAAATTATTATAGATTCAAATTTTTTTAATGAAGGAGGTTAAGAATGATATAACATAACCAATTATGTTTTCTAAAATGACCATCATTGTATCATCTTGAAAACACTAAAGGGAAATATGTTTATTGATATAAAAAATATTAGTTAATAAATATAAATCGTATGTGCATAGCATAAGTATTTGTTGTAACACATTTACATATACAGTAATAATATGATTTGTTGTAATTTAACATTTCCATAATGTGAAAAAACATTCTTATAATGACTAATAATTTTCCGTAATTGGTGATAACATTTTGAAAATAAGAGTCCGGGATTATTTTCTCTAATTTTATTCATCAGCATTCAAAAGTACATAAGAACTATATCACTATATCATATCAAAGTCATTCATCAATAAAATACATCATAAAAATATTACTATCAAAAATAGAATATTACAACATAAATATCTTTGTAATTGTTGTGATATTCAAATGAGTTAAAGAAAAATGAATAAAAAAGATTTATTCTTCAAATTAAATAAAGTTCAAGATTTTTTCAGTTTGTTTGTAAAACATTATGTAAATGAATATTATAGAAAAGTATATATAATCGAGGATATTTGTCTTGTAATGAAGAATGATTTTACGAACTTAATTTTTAATTTTAATTTTTTTTATATTATTTTAATTTCTTATTTTAGTTTCTTATTTTAATTTCTTATTTTAATTTCTTATTTTAATTATGATTATGAAATTAGTATGTATATTAATTAATAAAGTATTATCAGTTTATTTATACTATTTATTTTATGCTCTAAATTCTCTCAACCCCTACATTTGTGGGCCGAAACATTATGTTCTACGGACATATTGAGTCTCCATAACATACCAAAATGTTACAGTAATATTAAATAAATTACCATCATCTTAGAAAAATATTTACTATATATATATATATATCTTTTTTATTAATCGAAAATAAATAATAAAATAATAATTAATCATTAAGTTACGCAAAACGAAAATAAAATGTTCTTTGTTTAAGATTAAATAACAGTGATAAAATAATAAAAAATGTAAATTGTAACGATAAAATAAAACGATAATATAAACTGGTTTTTTAAGTAGAAACAAATCTTTTTTTTGTTATTGTCGTTAGGTATAAAATAAATATCTTTGAAATAAAACGAAAACTTAAAATCAATTTTTTAAAAAAATTTATTAATGATAAAAGTTTTAAAACTTTAATGAAGACTAACGTCAAAGTTATAAAAATTCAGCAAAATGTTAAAAAGTTCGAATATAGTTTTTTATTAGACAAAAAGTGAGAAAATGAGAATTTAAAAAAAAAAATTTCTAAGATTTTTAAAATAACTTTTTTTAAAAATATATTATAAATTTTTTTAAATTTAAAGTATTATTCCGATATTTTAATTTTACTTTTAGTTATCTAAAGATTAGAAATTAGGATATGAAATTAGAATAATTTCTTAATAAACATGAATAAAAATTTGAATTTAGGGTTTTCAGTTCATTCTTATACGTTTAGATTTTTTTTATGATCAATGAGACACCAAAATAAAAATAAATCCTTTATTATTTATTTATTCTATG